TGGTATGCCCTTATAAGTTAAAAAATAGATGAGACTCTGTTACCTTCGTGGTATGTACTTGCATATGCAAGCGGGTATTTATGCATCAAACTTGGGTAAGTGCAGCTAACAGTCTGTGCACACCAGTGTAAATCATAAAGGTGTGTGCGCCCATCCCTGAATTTCAAAAGTACTTTGAAAATTTGGCCTTTTGCTCAGCAACCTTCTTTCATGCTTTCTACAGACCATTTCCACAAATACCTTCTTTGCTTCCAGTACCTCTCACTTAGCAAAATTATGTGATTTAAAATGCCAGTGCATACCCTTTTACTCCTGTTAATTGATGTCGGCTAATCAGTGTTCATGACTCCAAAGTGACTGTAATAGAAATTACAACCAATTGGAAATGGATGTTCCATTTTGCCCCTTGTTCTGGCATTGGAAATATATGTTTAAGGGGTTTAATATGGTTTTAAATGACTCGTGCAGTATAACTTTCACTGCTTATTTGGGAAGATCCTTTTTTGCTAAATGGGATGTAAGGATATTAACATAAAGTTTTTGTTCATCGCAATACCTTTGGCAGTTCTTTTAACTCCTTGGTGTTTAAACTGTTATACCTTATCTTTGTTGTTGGACTATACTGCACAGATAAAAAGGAGTATTGAAGGTATCAGTCACAGCAACCCCATAATCATTTTGGTTGCTTTTTTCTGAATAGTCTGTAATCTAGAACATAATATGTATAACATTTTATGTACTCAGTTGACCCAAACGGTTAGCCAAAGTTCAAATCCCTGTAAATTGCCTCTGTTAAAAATGGACATTGACAATCTGATCCTTATTATTTAAGAGGACCTGCAAAAACTTCTTTCCCTCAATACAATAGGAATGAAACAAAAGAGGCAGTGTTTTTTTAAAGCCAATACTTAACTCAAAAAATGCTGTTGTGGGGCTAAATCCTATTCTGCGTTTAGGATAATAGGATCATATGAAATTAGGGCTGGAAGGGACCTTACAAGGATACGTAGTCCAGCCCCCTGATAAAGGCAGGATCATCCTAGCCAAGTGTTTATCTAACCTGCTTTTGAAAGTTTCCAAGGATGGAGATGCCTCAGTTTCTCTAAGTATCCTGTTCCAATGCTTGACCACTCTCATAGTCAGAAAGTTCCTTCTAATCTCCTAAATTTCCCTTGCTTTGGCTTGAGGCCCTTGCTCTTAGTCCTGTTCCCTATGACCACAGAGAAAAGCCCATCTCCATCCTTTCTATAATCACCCTTTGGGTATTAGAAAGTTGTTATCAAATCCCCCTCCGTCTTATCTTCTCCAGACTAAGTAGCCCTAGTTCTTTCCGTCTTTCCTTATAAGCATCAGTTCCTAGGCGCCTAATTGTTTTTGTTACTCTGCGCTGGACTCTTTCCAAATTATCCATGTTCTTCTTGAAGTATGGAGCCCAAAACTGAACACAGTACACCGGATGAGGCCTCACCAGCACTGAATAGGGCAGAAGAATCACTCCCTTGATTTGCAAGTGATACTCCTGTTAATGCAACCCAGGATGTGGTTGACTTTAAAAAAAAAATATTTTTTTTGCAATAAGAGCACTCTGTTGGCTCATATCCAGCTTATCGTTTATTATACCCTTAAGTCCTTCTCTGCAGTCCTGTAGCCAAGCCAGTCATTCCTCAGTTTGTATTTGTGCATGTGGTTATTCTGTCCCAAGTCCAGAACTTTGCACTTGTGCTTGTTGAATAACATCTCATTGATAGTAGACCATTTTTTCAGTCTATCCAGGTCATTCTAAATCCTAGTCTTGCCCTCCAGAATGTCTGCATTTCCAATTTTACACCTAAATGGCACATTTACCACCATGTAACTATATATATATTTTTGCATTTCAATTCAGTTTGTGGTTTTATTCCTCCCTGTGGCAAAACAGAATTGCCTTAAATGCTTAGTTGGTGGATGTGATGAGGAAGAGGAGTAGCAAAAGCAACTCCAGCCTTTTGACCTAAGCCCTTGTCTTGAAGTTGATCTATAGGGCAGGCACAAGGGTGAGATATATGAGGCCTTGAGGAAAAGAACAAACAAGGTGTGTGGCTCAGTGAAATGGATTCTGCCCTGGCCGGGAGGGAGCTTTTGCTCTCAATGAGACAAAAACTTTCTCAGTGCTGTTTATCCTTTTTATTCCATGAATATTTTATATATGGTGCAGAGGGCCAGCTTCAAAAAAGGGATAGAGAAGGTTCTGGTATTGTTAACCCATGTTCTGATGACTAGAATGCTTTTCTAGAAAAATAAGAGATGCAGTTTCAAACACCCTGGGTGCAGAGGGGAGTGGTGCAGAACCTGGCTTTCCAGCTTTCTGGGCCAGCATGCTCAGTAGGCTTATGTAGGCAAAGCTGAATCAGAAATTTTACATACATGCCACATGCCATTCAAGGGAGTAAAGCAAGTAGGATTTAGCTTCAGGCTTTTCTTGGGGTCACCATTCCAGTGTTTGATCCAGCTTTTAGCTTCTCAGAGGTGGAAACCTTCATAAAATAGTATCCGGTGACCCCTTCTGTCTTGCATTTTCCCATATTTTGGGCAATGATGCGTGCCTGCATTTTGGTGTAGAAGTAGCTATAGTTTCAGCTACCTGGTTATACAAAAGACTTCAGCAGATTTTGAAATAAAGCACTGTGCTTCTACCTGACAATATCACTGCAGTTTAACCAAGCCTACAAATACTTAAGCAGTTATTTAAAATATATACTTTTCCTCTGCTACAGTACTTGGAAGTGTTTTGATTTTTAGTTGTGAGGTTGGTATAATACCATACTGTAGAGTTTATGGCAGTGGTGCATAAACTTTTGGCCCCATGGGACAAATGACAGGTGTGGGACTAGTCTGCAGGTTGGCTCAGGCCCTGCACCCCAGGATCAGGCCTGCACACCTAGAACCAGACTGCACTGTCCCCACCTGGTCCTGGGACTGAATACTGCTTCAGCCTGGTTCTGCGTACCGTGTTATTCCATGTTTGACTGGGATGATATATATGGAGATGGTCTTGCTTTGATCAGGGGGTTGGACTAGATGACCTCCTGAGGTCCCTTCCGGCCCTAATTTTCTGTGATTCTATGGTTCCGTGACCAGGGCCCTAGATCCCTGCAGGACTTCGGCCTCGTCTTGCAGGTGGGGATCAGGCACAAAGGCCCCATACCACCTCTATCCAGCCCCACGTGCCAGGATCAGAGCTGCAGGACCCTGTGTCACTTCCACCAGGTTCCATGTGCTGGGACTGGGGCCTTGAGACCTTACACTGCCTCTGGTCCTGAATGGGGGGATTATGCTCTGAGGCTCCGCACCGCCGCTGCTTGGCCTTGTAGCAGCTGTTGCACCGGATCTAGCATGCAGGGCCAGGCTGGATGATAAGGCACCAGGGACCAGATCTAGCTTACGGGCCAGGGGTTGAGCACTGTGGTTTACAGTGGACATTTACCCAAATTGAAGACGACTCTGAATTTAAGACAATCTCACAATAATTAGATTCTTTATATGGAAAATATATACATTTCTTATAATTGACCATATATAGAATATAATTATTAGAGAGTTGTGTCTAAATTATTCTCCCCCACTGCTGCAGTGAGGAAAGCAGGGGCAAGGGATGGAGGTGGGGGGGTAGGCAGTAGGAGGCAGGCTGTCAGGCATAGCCTGTGTGGGGGCGCGGTGTTCAAGCAGCTTGCCCCCTGTACTTTGCTTCCTCATACCTCTGCTCCCTGCCACCTATTTCTTCCCCCTGCAACCATCACTGTACCTGCTGCCTGCCCCCCTGCAGACTCAGACCCCTTCCCCCCATAGTCTCTCACCCCCACTGCTTACCTATGCTTTTGCACTGGCAAGCTCTGTCCCTGCTCCAGCATTTGGCACAGAGTATATGCTTACTCCAGCTCTAGCTCCAGGCTGGCCTGGGAGTAGTACCAGCATGACAGCATGTTGTGTTGTCTGATATGTAGAACAAACAAATTGCTCATCAAGAATGATGGAAGTGGGGGGGACAGGGGACAGAGTGCCAGCACCCACCAACTTGTGCTGCTGCTGCCTCCAGCACCGCTGGCCTCGCCGCCCCCCACACCCACCGGCCCTGCTCCTCAGAGGCAGCAGAGCACTTCAGCAGCTCCATCCCCCACTCCCATCCACCTCCGCCTCCTCCTGCGGAGCAGCAGGGCTTCCTTCCACCTGAGGCAATGGCTCCCTCCCGCTCACCTGCCTGCTTCTGCCTGCGGAGCAGCGGGGCTTCCCTTCGCCTGAGGAGCCAGTCACCACCGGCCCTCTCAGCAGCGCATGTGCTGTTGCCCAAAAGCACTATGGACAAACAGACACACAGACAGACAGACAGATTAAGCCCTTTATTATATTAGAATTTACATCTCTAATAAGCTTGTGCTAGATCAGATTGATAAAGACATGTCAGGTTGTTCGCAGGGTGTGGGAGTCAACTAAACATCTTAGTTCCTTTGAAATCAGCCTTCTTTTTCTGGCTATCTTGGTCTTCTTTGGGTATCGCTACTTTCTTTGTCTTCCCTTGACACTTAAGTCCTTTCCTTAGTTTTGTTTTGTTCTTGCTTTTGTTTTTTAAATATCCACAAACCTCATGTTTCTGAAGGTGGAAAAGAACAAGTAAAGGTTGGTAAAATAATTCTCTGCCCTCTAGGTTTCCCGTTGAGGAAGAAAAAAATCTTAATGATTAATAGCCACTTCTAAAAGCTTAGGCTCTTGCAGGTAATGTTTTCTGAATACCACCTTGGCTGGCCACCATATCAATAAATCCCCAAAGCAGATTCCCTCCCTCGCCCCCAAACCACTGTAAATTATGACAGAAGCCCAGATCCTTGGTCAGACATAAATAATGTCATAATGACATTTTTTCTAAGAGAAATGCATTACTTTTTTCTAGACTTGAGGTATGCTTTATGTATAATAAGGTTTCATAGATTTCATTTTAATTTTGTTTGTACTGAATTCTTATCTTATAGCATAGACTTCCAAAAGAACAATCCAACGCACAAACTAACTGAAGAGGAACTGCTGGCTTTTACATCAGTAAGTAACTTATGTCCTTTTTACTGTATACATCTTCTCTTGTCTACTGTCCAAGTAAAGTACTAGGCTGTGACCCATCCATCATTTTAACAGTGAAAGTGTTTATGAATACAGTCTACTTGGTGTCAGTCAGTTGCTTCCCTAATTATAAAAACACTTAAGATCTCTTGCTCCCACTCTTCCTTTCTCAAGAAAGTAAACCAGTGCTGAAATTCAGCCTTTATTTTCCTTATCAGCACTGCAGATGATGTTGACACTAAAACTACTCTCAGTTTAACTTCAAACCACTTAATGCAAAGGTTTCTAAATTTAGATGTAGGTTCCAATTAGAAGTTGAAATGTAGTTTCACTGGATGGAGTCTGCTCATGACAAACTCTCCATGTTGATCTGCTATTGAGAGCTTTCCTAGTGATTACCTGATTGCTAAGAGATTTTTGTAAATGGAGAAAAGTGCAGTTAGAACAACATTTTGATCCCTGTGAAATCTTACACACAGCATGTTAGGTCCTTTCCTTTGACAGTTCAGCTCAGCAGAAAAGCAAATGAAAATAAAATGAACACGGTTACTGGGAAACAGTTTTCTTTTACATAAACTGTTTATTGCTTAAAATGATCTTTTTGGCACTTTTCACGTAAGATTTCAAACTAGGATACACAAGGCACAATCAGAGCATTACTTTAGATCAGGGGCTGGCAAAATATGGCCCGCAGGCCACATCTGGCCCACCAGATAATTTCATCTGGCTCATGGGTGCCCACCAATTAATTCTACCCCACCCAGCCCACATGCTTCTCTTCCACCCTTATCCTCAGGAGGGCTCTTGCTGCACTGTTTGCTTTGGGCAGCAGGTAGGGAAGCTGCAGCTGGGTGGGAGCATGGAGCATGGGGCTGGTGGGAGCTTGGGTGGACAGGGTGTAGGTGTGGGGTGGGTGGAGGGTGTGGGGACCTCCCTTCACGCTCCCCATGGTGCACAGCCTCCACCACCACCAGCAGCAACAGCAGGTGACGGGCCCTTAGGGTGATTGTAGCCTGTGCAAGCACAGCTGCTCGGCAGTGCATGGCTCCAGCCAGTTCCAGGAGTTACACATAGCGGCAAGGAGTGGAGCCAGGCTGGGCCACCTCTATCACACAGGGCTTACATGCAGCTCCCAAGACTCATATGCCACTGGGAATAAGCACCCTGCAATGGAGCTGGCTACCTTTTCCAGTCCCTGCTGCCACATGCAGTTCCTAGGACTCCACAGGGAAGCAGGGAGTGGGGCTCTCCAACACTTCTGGTGAAGTCTCAGAAGCTGCATGTGGCAGCAGGGAGCAGGAAAGGTAGCCAGCTCCATCACGCAGGGCTTCCCCCCAGTAATGTGCAAGTCCTAGGAGCTGTACGTGAGCTCCACGCAACAGAGGCAGGCTATCCTGGCTCTGCTCCTTGCAGCCATGTGCAGCTCCTGGAACTGGCTGGAGCTGTGGTCCACTAGGCACAGGTGCCTGCGCAAACCATGAACATCCCAAGGGCCCGTTGCCAGTTACTACTGCTGCCACCAGCAGCAGGGGCTGTGCACCATGGAGGGGGATGTGTGGGGGGGTCCTCACACTCCCCCC